TTGTTAATCTTTCTAGCTCTTCATCTTTTAGCTCTTTAGTATCCAACTCGGATAGAAACGCTCTATTCCTCAGATCCATTTCAAAATTATTTTCTATTTGCCGATATGCTTCAAAGAAGTATCTCTAAAGAGTCAGATTATATAACTCCTGATCTTATACTGAGAAATACGAGACATATCTCTTTAGAGCTGTGAAGAGTTTCAGAAGTTATATGTTGAAAATGTTATCTGGGTTAGGTTTGATTACATATCTGTGTCAATTTGTCACGCATATCATATGGGTGCATAGTATTTTTGTGATGTGGTGAAGTATAGAAAAGTAAAGTATCTTGAGTTCGGATATTGGCAGAGCTACTGTCTCTGTATTTATATATAATTGATCATGTAGATATTGTTGCAACGATTACTCATGACAATTGACAGGCATATGAAATCAACAAATGCCCTAATTGTGATTGCCACATAAATAAAAATCCATTTCAGACATATGCTTGATTCTCAGATATAAGTACCAAAACTGGTTCAAGCACGTAAGTGCCCTGTTCCACAGTAAATTGTACTGGTAAATAGTTGTGAGAATTTTAACATGAGCAGATGTCGATAACGAACTATTTTTAACTACGATATTAACACATAATTTTTATGTAATGTATTTATTACAATGAAATTCTACCTCTATAGTTTATAATAACTTGTGTAACTTGTCATCTTCGCTAAAATAATTAAATATATGCCATAGAACGTAATGGAAATTTGCGTGCATAAGCTGATTATGTGATAAACATGTATCACGGAAGAAATTCGAAAACTATAGGCATGTGTAACACACCGGTGAAGTGAAAGATAACCAAATTCGATAAATTAACACATGGCTCATTCTTTGTAGCCTCCTGAGGCAGTATACGCGTTATTTAAGGGGGAATTACGTGGTTAGGGGTTCGCGTTTTTTTTACGATTCTTATACTTTTTCTTACACCTTAATCTTATATTTTTTTATATTAACATGTCTTCCGAAAAATATCCTGGTCATAAAGAACTTACTTCGTATTTGAGCCAATATGAAAATAAATCCTTCTGGGGTTTTTTGCTTTGTTGTCGAGACACGATCGTTACCACTGCTTCGACTACCTCCCGCAGACAGGACCTTGATACGTCTTGGTGCAATCACTTTTTAGCAGAAGCAAAAGAGTTGTTAAATCCCAATGACTTTAATAACTTGAAAAATCAGGTGTGTATTTTTTACTTTACAAAGTTAGGGTAACTCCTAGTAGATTGCTGATCTGACTCAGGAGAACTACTGGGTATGACTGCTTGGTATCCACTCCAAGTTCTCTATTCAGGCGCCCTAACTTTGTCGTTGGTAAAGGTCTGCGGATTCCGGAGGAGGAATCGGTTATGTGTCTTCCTTTTGGGGCATGCCGTTTATCATCTGATTTCTCTATACTATAGGGTTCGCCCTAAACCATTTGATTTTTGGCATGCCCTTATCACTAAATAGAAAATTACACACTTAATGAAAAATTACACACTATTAATAGTTGCTTTTCTTACAATAGGTCAATTTAGAACGAAAATGCTATAATTTTGAATATTATTGGAATGATGTAATCTTGGGATGTAAAATAGTAAGTAAACCCATTTATTTTACATTTATATATCAGCTTTAATATTATTCATAATTATTCTTCTGAAATTAGAAACAAAACATCTTGGCCTATAAAGAAGAAAAAATGTGCATTCGGCTTGAATATTTGTACAAACTAAATAAAATTGATAAAAAAATAGAAAAGGAAAATATCGAATTAACTAAAAATTCAAATAAATGGAAAGACAGGGGTTCGGTTAATGAAGATGATGATCTTTTACAAGATAATAATGGTGGTGCTAACAACAACGGAAATGATAATAATAATAATATCAACAATAATAATAAAAATAATAATGATAATGATGATAATGTTGATAATGATGATTATGAAAATAACAATAATGATAATGGTGATAATGGTGATGGTAATAATAGTGAAAATAATAATAGCAACAATAACAATAATAATGACAATAACAATGACAATAATAATAATGATAATAATAATGGTGATGATGGTGATATTGGTAATAATGATAATGGCGATAGTAATAATGATAATGATAACAATAATAACAGCATTGCTGGTGGTTCTATGTGACGAAAAAAAAGAAGATGGGTTAATTATAATAATAATGATAATGATAATAGTAGTAATAATAATAATGATGATAATTATAATGATGAAAATAATGATGGTGGTAATAATAACAATAATGATAATAACAACAATAACAATAGTGACAATGGTGGTAATGGTGATGACAATAATAATGAAGATAATAATAATAACAATAACAATAATAATAACAATAATGGTAATATCGAAAATATCAGTGAAGATAATAATAACATCATCATCATCACCAGCAAATAGCAACAACATCAACAACACCACCACCACCAAGATATAATCTTCGTAGTAAAAGAAAAAAAGAATACAATTACAAACGTGCAACTAAAAAATGGCAAAAAATAAACCATCATTATCCCATACATCATCATTTCATCCATCATCACTACCATCACCTTTACTAATAATTCATTCACCATCACCTCCACATTTGCCGTCACCTCCATTTATTTGTTTAGAGTGCCCACTACATTGTTTTAATTAATTTATTTGTGTAATATATAGATAAAAATATTTTTTTGTACATATTAATTTGATCGTGAACATTTTTCATGATTTTTTTTATAAGAGCTATATATATCATATGCACAAGAATTTTTCTTGATGTTTTTCCTTCCAGGCCAGAAGTAAATTTTTCATGTAATGCTATTATTTGAATATATCTGTATCTTGTATAAAAAATGACTAACACACTATCTACCAATTTGTTAAATATTCCATTTCAAGCTCTTTGAGACAACAGGTCTATTTCGATTAATACTAGGCATGTCCATTTCTTATCAAATTCCTTTGACTCTAACAAAGAAAAAATATATTCTATATATCTGAAAGCACTACTACTTGACGAGCCATTAAGGTTGAAATAACCCTAGAGCCGAGTCCTACTCAAGAATAGTATATACTTTTGTAGGAAAAAAAGAAGCGTGGATGTGATTGATAATCGGTAAGGATATATCACCCGATCAAGATTGGGCCGTACCATGTCTTCGATGTCTTCACTAATATATGCCATAGAACAAAATGGAAATTTCATGCATAAGCTGATTATGCGATAAACATGTATCACGGAAGAAATTCGAAAACTATAGGAAATTCTAATGCATGTGTAACGCACCTGTGAAGTGCACGTTCTTTGTAGCCCCTGAGGCAGTATATACGGTTATTTAAGGGGGAAACTACGTGTTTAAGGGTTCGCGTTTTTTTACGATTCTTGTACTTTTTCTTGCACCTCAACAAAGTTATATTTTTTACTAAGTTTTTTTGTATTAACATGTATTCCGAACAAAATTATCCCGGTTACGAAGCACTTATAACATATTTGACGCGAAGCAGAAACAAATCTTTTTTGGGCTTTTTACGCCGTTGCCGGGACGTGATTGTTGCCACCACTTCAGCTACTTCTCGCTGGGTGGATCTCGATCACACCTGGGCTGTTAGATTCATATCAGAAGCGGGAAAGTTAGGAGATGATTTAGAAGAAAAGGTGTGTATTTTTTTATTTTGCAAGGTTAGGGTAACTTCTAATCGAAGCGCAATACGCGCATCAACCTAGGAGAACTACTGGATATGACCACTTGGGTAACCAGCCCCAAGTCCTCTATTCAGGCGCCCTAACTTTGTCGTTGGTAAAGGTCTGCGGATTCCGGAGGAGGAATCGGTTATGTGTCTTCCTTTTGGGGCATGCCGTTTATCATCTGATTTCTCTATACTATAGGGTTCACCCTAAACCATTTGATTTTTGGCATGCCCTCACCACTAAATAGAAAATTATACACTTAATAGAAAATTACACACTGTTAACATTGATAAATGCTTTTCTTACAATAGGTTGGTTCGGAACGGGAGCGCCGTGCAAAAAAATTGGAGGATTATTGGAACGAAGTAATTTATGAATGTAAATTAACCACTTATTTTGCATTTATATATTAGTTTTAACATTATTAACATTATTAACATTATTTTTAATTATTTTTCTGGGATTAGAGACAAGAAATCACCAATTATAAACACGAGATTAAAATAAGAAATGATGAAATTTTTAGGATATTTAAACAAATATAATAATAATAAAAATAATAATGATAATGATGGCAATGATGGTAATGATAGTGGCAACAATGACAACAATGATGATGATAATAATGATGATAATAAAAATAATGATAATAATGTTGATAATGATAATGGGGATGATAAAAACATTAATAATGATGGCAACAATAATGGTGATAATGATAATGATGATGAAAATAATAATAATAATAATGGTGATAACAATAATGAAAATAACAATAATGATAATGATAATGGTGATGACAGTGATGGTAATAATGGTGAAAATAATAATAGTAACAATAATAATAATAATAATAATGGTGATGATGGTGATATTGGTAATAATGATAATGGCTATAGCAATAATGATAATGATAACAATAATAACAGCATTGCCAGTGGTTCTATGCGACGAAAAAATAGAAGACGGGTTAATTATAATAATAATGATAATGATAATAGTAGTAATAGTAATAATGACAATAATTATAATGATGAAAATAATGATGGTGGTAATGATAACAATAATAATAATAACAACAATAACAATAGTGACAATGGTAGTAACAGTGATGGCAATAATGATGAAGATAATAATAATAACAATAACAATAATAATGACAATAATGATAATATTGAAAATGTCAACGAAGATAATAATAACATAACAATATCATCATCATCATCATCAGCAATAGCAACAACATCAACAACAACACCACCACCACCAAGATATAATCTTCGTAGTAAAAGAAAAAAAGAATACAATTATGAATGTGTAACTAAAAAACGGCGAAAAAATAAATCATCATTATCTCATCCATCATCACCTCATCCGTCATCACCACCATCACTAATAATTCATTCGCCATCACCTCCATTTATTTGTTTAGAGTGCCCGCTACATTGTTTTAGTTAATTTATTCGTGTGTTATTAAAATTACAATAAAAATTTTTTTATAAAATATTGGTTACACGATGATCAGATGTGCATAAAAAAGTCTGATAATTATAGAAGTTCTACAATTGTATAATTCTGATTATTTCCTATCAAAATTTTCGTATTTATAAAATGTCATCATTTATTACGTATCCTCCAACCAAAAGTCTTTTTCCTTTATATTCATTTTAAATATTGTTCAGATGTCAAAATTCCAGAAGATTACATAGATTTCAAATGTTGAATTTAAAAATATCTCAGATCACAGTGTTCAAATGTTAGTTATCAAATTACATAAAGTAATAGGTACAGGTGAAATTTTTTATATGTACACTTTAAAATTCTGATCATTATACAATCAATAAACCAAAAATATTTCTGGGATATTGGGGTAACAGATTACATATGAATATCATCCAATTAGAAAGTGCGAATTTGGGATCACTTAAAAATATTTGAATGATGTACCAGGGGGAAAATTACCAGTAGACAAAATTTCATATTCTCAACTCTAAACCTACCAATTAACTTAACCCCTTATGTGGTGAATTTTCCCCTCCGGTCCTGTGTTCTCAGTAAATGGATAAAATTTACTATATATCAGTGGTGATATGATCTATATGTTTTGTAAATTGTAATACAAGAAAAATTAACAAAAAAACTAATTAAATTCAACAGAGTTCAAATTTCATAATTCAATAATAATTTATTGTAAAAATTGTAATTTAATAAACTCGTCAGTATAAAATTTATCAAATCTTGGTTAAATCTTCAATTGCATAATTCTTACCTGAAATTATTTACCGAAAATGAAAATTATCTGCCTGGTTTACAAAAATCGCGTAAAGATTTTTTAGGAAAAATACATAATGTTTACGATTATTTAGATGCTTATTATTAAATTCGAAATTTTTAATAAATTGGTGATCACATCTCAATTAATTATTTTTCATTATTCAACTCTATAATCCTTTGTATTGCTTCGTAATTAATAATTCTATACTCACGGCAGGATCGAAGATAAAATTTGTTAAGAATTTCGTGATGAACATGTGTACATTTTATACGATGGTCAATAATTTCTCGGTACCTATAGATATAGCGACGCTGCAAATACTATTCCTCGTCTAAGCTTTTCGCGTGATTCAGAGAATTTACATTCTAGCTCATATGTGCCAATTATTTTAGCTGCTGAAATCATCGCGCGTAATAATTCATCTAAGCTTCTAAAATTCCGTACAATGTTGCCTTCAAACATATTTATTCGAGAACAGATTTCTTTGAAACTCATATTCTGTAATAAAATGAACATGAATTAGGTGAACAATGTTAACTATGAGAACGTGAATTTTATGAATAAAAAATTAAATATCTTACGTTACACCAATTAAATACACCGTCCATTAAATCTGAAGAGAAGCTTGCGAGATATACATCTTTTTCGATAGGTATATTACATTCTTCAGTTAATTCAGCTATACTTCGAGCGGTTTCTTGAACGTGACGATATAATACAGCAAATTCTTCGGAAAGAGGCGTTGGTTGATCTTTTTGCGAAGCCTCGTCACATACAAAACAACTTAATAAAGCAGCACTTTTTTGCGGAGTAAGATCATTGAAAATTCCGTTCAAAAGCAATTCCGTTAATACTAATTCATCACCCGAAGTAATTTCGCACGCGACACGCCCTTTAAATTCAACCACATCATTTTGGGTCAAATACCCTAGTCTACGTAATAGGCGCTTTCTTTTTTTTAGCTCGTCAAAATGTAGTGTTAGTTCAGTGTTTCGAATCTTTTTCTGAGCAGTACGAATTTTTTCTTGTATGTCAAGTTTTTTCTTATAAGTATCATATATTGCAGGGTCATTAGCGGTTGGGTTTGATTCAAGCTGAGCTCTAATCATTTCCAATTTCTAATAAATCATCAAAAATGAAATCGGAAGAATTGCATTAATAACATGAAACAATATTGGATAACATTAAGAAAGAAATTAGGAATAAAATTTTTTACTTGAATTATATCATTAGCTTTTTCATCTTTTATATTCATTTGATTTATAGGTTCCATTGGCTCACCGTCGGGATGTTGCTTAATAAGGTCCTGAACACCTTTGTACGTGACCTGTCTTTGAGCGACGTCGTGTTCCAAATTATCATCCGGATGAAAGCGATATTGACTTAAAACCTGTAAATTATCTAAATCCACGGGGATTACCTTATATAATCAATTCATAATAAATTAGTTTTCATGGAATATAAATACATTAGATCACAAGGTGAATAATACTACCGAACAATTTCCCGGTTGGCCCGGCGGACATGGTTTAATATCGATCTCTCTTCCGTCATAGCTGACATATGAATCTGCGGTGACCTTCAGTAGTACTCTAATTTTATATTGCGGTTCTTCATTTTTTTCAATTTTTTGTGATCGAAGACTATATTGAGGTGGATTACGTTTCTTCATGAAAAGAATTAGTAAATAATGTAAATAATGCAATAAATTTATAATTAACAAAAATATCAATCGAATTTTTTTTTTTTTTACCTTTCTTTCTTCATAACGTACTATCACACCCCATCCAAAGTCCGTATCATTAATTTTGACCTTTACTAATCTTCCGAGTTGTAAATAGGGTAAACAATTCTTTGGTTGAAAAATAATATCTCTTAGTCGTTTCCCATAATCATCATTAAGTAACAGGAGTTGATGATATCGAGAAACAGTTTCTTCATTGGGAATATTAAATTTTGAACATTCATTCTCAAGTTTCCATAGTTCTTTAAAAATTTAATACAAAAAAAAGATAAACGTTTCAATAGTAATAGTGTTGAAGCAAATATTAATTATATCTTACCTTCTTTTAAATGTGGTACGGCAGACTTTTTTTGAAACTGATAAAAGCTATGTTCCAACATAAGTTCCGGACTTATACCTTCGATTCTCGTCATGTTGAGAATCATATGATATTTTAAATGGAAAGCTGATGTTAAATGATCGGCGTCGCCCTATTAAATTTATTTTATTAAAAAAATGAATGGTTGTTAAACTAAATAGAAAGTAGTGATTGTCAATCCAAAGTACCTCCAAGTGAACCAAAATTATACCTTGAACATGTCTTGCAAATCTTTTGGAGAGATATTACGATCTACGTTCATTACAACAAATCCACGAGGATCCAATCCTCTCCTACCAGCACGACCTGACATCTGAATATATTCTCCAGATGTTATCTAATCTCGAATTTTTCATGAATTAATATAAAAGATTAGAAAAAAAAAGTTGTATATACATCAAAATTTCATTTATAAAAGAAAGGACGTATTAACTTACATTTCTTGGTTTTATACCATCAAACTTGGAAAGTTCACAAAACACTACAGTTTTTGCCGGCATATTTAATCCCATAGCAAACGTTTCAGTAGCAAATAATACTTTTATTAAGCCCTCCTGGAATAAAAGTTCCACAACCTCTTTCATAAAGGGTATTAAACCTGAATGATGAACACCAATCCCACGTTGTAAAAGTGGTAAAAGGTTTCGAAACCACGATAAATCACGATCTTCTTCTGTTAACACACTGAGAGCATTATCAATGACCTTCTTTATAAGTTCTTTTTCATCATCTATATATATATATATACAAAAAAATGTATAAATATATATATATATATATATAATTAAAACTACAAAACTTTCAAATATAC